TTAGATATAGACACGCCCTTTAGATTAGACAACAAGAATGGATCTCATGGAGTACCACGAATGTAAGGGGTGCTAATACCTTCCCCTTGCATAATCGAATCCCTTACCCGATCTCTTGGTCACAATACCTTGGTTTCTCCCTCTTCATGTTTTTCTTCGATGTTTTCATTTCCCTTCCTATGGGATAAACAAATGTTCGATGAAGGCTTAATTATTTGTTTGAGAGATTTATTTTCTCGGGTTGTTTCAACTATTCATTGCTCTGAGCAAGGAGGAGATTACTGGCAGATGTGTTATGGGAGTTTTCTGGTTGTGTGCTTCTCGTGTGTCGAGCAGACCTGGAGGTAGCTATTGATGCGGGAAGGCGTGTGATTCAGGGCATCATTGGTTTCATTGTTCCTAGGGTGTAGTCGATCAAGTATGCCCGAATTAAGGGATATAGTTAGTGGGCCAAAGCCGTTGTATTAAGGGTAGAAGCGGATTGGGCCAATTCTAGCCATTGGGCCAGTCCAGAATAATTACCACTTTATCCTCTTAATCTCCACATCATATTATTATCTCTATTTTTCTCCAATTGTAAATAATTACTCCAATTATCTAAAATTATTAAAACACTCAATATGACTTAATTCCCACTATACTAGTGTTCTGGACAGGACCAATGGCTGGTCCATAATCAAGTACGACCCAATCCACTCCTGCGTTTAGGACATCCCAAGACCACTGGCCCAATCCATTTGGGCTAACAGAAGGCGCGTTCCCCACCTGCTCCTCGGCTGGGGACACAGGGCCAAATGACCTTGAGGATGAACCCTGGTCGACAACACCATTCTTGCCCTGAACGAAATCTCTTCTTGTGGCTGACCCATCGTCGGGCACGACCCAAAATTGTTGGTCCAATCCATTAGGGCCAATAGGACACACACCTCCTATATGCCCCTCTCATGAGGACACATGGCCAACTGATCCCACACATACTACTCTGGTGACCGTGTCCCCATCTGCCCGTTGCAACGACTTGTTCACTCTATGCCCGTTACAACAGCTAATTCACACTATTCCCGTGGAACAGGGGGGCACGTCCCCTAGGATGACAAGCATGAGCTACTCGTCCCTCCTTATCATCCCTCATGCTCCTCCACTGGAATGAGGGGCACGTCCTCCAAGATGACGAGTATAAGCTGCCCAATCCACTCATGTGCCCAAGACAACCCAAAAGCTTTGGCCTAATCAGTTGGGACCAGTAAATGGAAGCATTTTTCCCTCCTGCCCCTCTGCCGAGGACATATCTTCATTAGACCAGAGGACCAACGAACCATCGTTGTCTTCGTCCAAGCATCTACCTTTTCCAACGTCGAGCTGTATATCCTGTCCCTCAACCAGGGACAATAGATCACCTGCTCACTGGGCACCATCGCTTCCTAGAGGTACGTTTATGCCCGTCTTAATGGCTAGTATTGGGCAGCCTTCCAGGATCCATGGTTTTACGCCTATATTCCTGGCAGTCATATATTTTGGGCCTGGATCCCAAATCCTGCTCAAAATATGGACCAATCGTCAAGCATTGGGGGCACTATAAAAACCCTCTCATTTGAGAGGGTCAGGTAATTCAATTCTAACCCTAAGAAACACTTAAAGGTATATGTGCTCCTACTGACTTTAGCATTGGAGGGCCTTGCAGGTACACCCCCTCCTCCTTGATTCCAGCATTGAAGTTATAGTATATGTTCCACTTCAGGTTCTAATCAACTGGTAAGATCAGTGACGACGCCTGTGAGAAACATGTTCTTCCCATCTTTCTTTCCTCAGAAACCAAATATCAAAGCAAATAATCAAGATTCTAGTCATGGCTATCTTTGACAACAACGACAATGCTCACAAACCCATCATCTCTAAGACAAATGACTGTGGCGGGATACCCTTTGTTAAAGATGCCATCCCATTGAGGGACGGTCGCACCGCCTCCCCACCCTCCAACGAGGCTAAAGACATCGACATTCAATACATTGAAGCTCATAAAATCAAGAAGGCTCAATAAGGAGCACCGAAGAACACGCAAGAAATCCCTGCTCCTCCTGGTGCTGACCCTGTTATGGCATCCCTGCTCGTAGATCTCAACCAGACCAACTCCCAAATTTTCCAATAAAACGAGAGGATTGGGGCGTTGGAAAATGCTCTTCGGTCAAAGTCTCCCCCACGGAGGCACCAACGACAAATATCATACAACTTGTCTCCCCGACAACATGATCACTGTCAGGGGCAAGAAAGAGCTCATATCTTTTCCATCAAGAAACACGATTAAACCCCTCCTCTGAGAGACCAGCTCTCCCCGGTGGCCGAAAAACCAAAGGGAAAACTGAGAAGCCCATATCCCCGTCGGAACAATAGTCATCGTCGAGGGAAGCATAATTTCCCGTCACCACCATCTTCGGACCTGAGAGACAATGGAGATCCCTGTGGTCCATTGTCTCGGACGATTTTGGACGCTCTCCTCCCTGGAGGGCTTGAGAAGCCACCAAATTTGGGAACGTATGACAGGACAACTGATCCTGACAAGCATATCGAGAACATTGATGTCGTGCTCGACTACCGTGTCATCGGGGGTGCCATCAAGTGTATACTGTTTCCAATAACTCTGAGAAAAGGGGTAGTGTCTTGGTATAAAATCCTTCCCAATGAATCCATCACCTCATGGAAGCAATTAGGGAAGATGTTCTCAAGGAACTTCACTGCCTCTCGCTATTATCCGAAGATAGAGGCCTCGCTAGAAGCGATCATACGGAGGAAAAGAAGAATCTCTCTGAGCATACATTGGCAGGTTCAACAAAGAAGTCGTTCAGGTCTCCACTATTATACCCTAATTTTTGCCCCTAATATCCTCTATCATACCATATTATTACAACGCATCAAGATCACGCATCAGGGTTGTTTATTTCTTTTACTCTCTCTCCTATCTTTAAGTTTATCCTTAAGGGATCACCAAGCACCTTGAATTATGTATCTTGTATATATGTGTTATATATTTTACTGACCTCTAAGCAAAATCCAAAGATATGTCTTGTTTATTTTGTTTCTTTAAGAAGATAGGGTTTTCAATCAAGAAAGTTAGGAACTGGTTCTCTAACTAGATTTGTGGGTTGTTCAGGCCAAAGAATGGTTCTCAAAGGCCTATTTTTTAGAGTGGTGATCTATAATCTTAGGTCATGGTATCCTCAAGATTCATTCATCATGGTTAAGGCGAGTTTGGTTGCTTAATTCTCGAGACTCTTCGAGATAGGTTCATGTGTTTATATCCATGCTTTCTTCCACGGGTAATCTCAAGTTCTGACAAGTGTGAATATGGTTTAATCAGAATTTCAATATCTCAAGTTCATACATGATTAAGAGTGCCTTGGGTTATGGAGAACAATCAAGTTTGCAAATTGATTCAAAGTTGGTTGACAAAAAGTAAATGTTTGCAAGTTCGAGTTCAAACAATCATAACTTCTTCATTATTCAATATTTTTGATCGACTCTTCGAGCATATGAATCTCCTGGACCAACTCAAGAGCTGATTATGTGCATAAGACCATCAAAAGTTTGAATACATTAGAGGTCGCTTTTTGACTTTGACCAAAATTCAAGTGACATTCTTTCAACTTTCAAGGATCATAATTCTTTCAATTTTAATCATTTTGAGACGATTCTTTTTGCACAATATCACAAATGGTGTTATCTACAAATTTGCTTTGGTTTAGAAGCACCTTAACCATTTGAATTGTAGATCCATCAATTGTTTCTTACTTTTGAATTAAAGTTGGATTTTTATTCAAAGTTCCTTTGGTTTAAGGCATGATTACTCAAAGCTTTTCAAGTCTTCTCAAGACATCATTTCAAGGTTCAAATTCAAGATACAAATTCTAGTACATTTAGGAGTCATCTTAATTCTTTCAAGACTCAAATTTAATGATCATTCAAGAAATTACAAGGCAAGGTTCATTCTCAAATTCAATTTTCCGAGCATTCTCAAGCCTAATTTAAAATCAATTTCATGAGATTCATCAACAAACACTTTCATGGTTCAAATTTCAAGTCCAAATCTTATTCCAAATTCAACTTTTCAAGGCATAATTCAAGGTCATTGTTCCACATCAACATCAATTCTATACATGAATTTAAGTCTTTCCTAAGTCTCCAAAATTACACCATTTCTTTACAAAGAAGACAAGCTCATAAATCCCAAATTCAAATTCACATCAATAACAAGTGATTCCAAGAATCCTAATGCTAAACTTCAATCTCCATGCTTCATAATTTTTGAATTAATCGTTGTCGTGATAAGCCTCAAAACGAGCTTTACATTCTTTCTTCTCCAAGCTTCGACAAGATTTATTCTCCAATATTCTCCATGCCATATCTCAAGTTTATTCACAATACATGAAAAGAAGGAAATAAGAGTGAGTTTAGCGATATTCAAATCAAGAAAGCTTCACAAAAGTCCAGTTCATGCATGGCTCAAGTTTCTTAACAACACACTTCAACATTGCAATTCAAACAATTTCCAACAAAATTCAAGAGTTAGCATATTCATCCAAAACCAAGAATTTCCACAAAAAAAGATTGTTTTCTTTCAAGTCGATTTACAAAGGGGTTAAGAATTAATCCAATCACATATTCAAGTGAGGCCCATTTTGACACTTCAAAACAACACAAAGATTGAAAAGAAAAAAAAGAGATTATTATGGTGGTAAATAGCATTTTCGGATTTGGATGCTATGGTTTTTTTTAACAAAAATTTCAACCAAAAATATGAACCCAATTCATTCATACTAAGCCCAAATCTCAAACAAAAACTCAATTCACAGAACCCTAACAGCAGCCTATTTAACATTGATTCACTGACCGAGAGGAGGAATTCATTCACTGACAATTTGAAAAAACTCAGAGCAAACAGAAAACGAAAATCCAAAAACCAATCACCTGAGACCGCCGTCCATCCCTGATCCGTCGCCGGAAAATCTCTAACCACTGTCGGAGCTCTTCCGTCCTATGTTCTTCACTCTTCTTCCATCACAAGGATGATATTCTTTCTCTGAACGCGACTCCCCTCTCATTTCTTGTGCTTCTGAGTTATTTGTTGTTGTTCTTTACAAAAATATTTCAAAACATTTTTATCAGATCTTGTGAAACTCATAGTTCTTTTGAGAAAAATAGTTTCAGATTCGGAAAGAGGAGAGGAATCCGAACTCAAAAATGTAAAAAATTACAAATCAGACATTTCACGGTGGCGCCGCCGTGAGCTCCAGTCGACCACCACCGTGAACTCCATTTCTGGCCACCGCAAATCGTCTTCTTCGCCGTGAATCTCATCACCAGCCACCATGCCTGTTCTTCCAAAATCGCCCTTCGATCTCTAGTTTTGGTCATTTCTTAACTTTGTTTTATTTTTAATGAAAGATAAGAAGGATTTTTTTTTGTTTAAGAAAATGAAAAGGTGATGATAATAATGATGCATATAATTATTTGGTTTATTTTTTCACTCTCTCCGCCTCGTAAAATGCGCCAGATTGCATGGAGGACAAGTGGTCCTCTGAGAAGATGATATGAAAAAATGAATCTTTACGCTCACAGTTTTTGTTGTTATTGTGTACCTGGATTCTGGATCACTGGATCTGTATACTTTTTTCAATTGATTAGATCTGATGGTATATAATTATTCTATTTAATTTATTTTTTAAAATTTATTTTAACATTTAAAATTTATTTTAAATTCAATTTTCTCCCAAATATTCTGAAAAAATTCATGAAAGTCATTTATCTCATTTCTGACTTATTGTATTTTTTTTGAAATTTAATTTTGATTTATGTTATTTTTAATCATTTTTCACTTATTGGAGTGATTTTAATTAGTTTAAAAATATTTTTTTTGAAATTATCAAAAAGAATTGTAAAAATATTGGAGATCATTTCTGACTTTTTTATGGTCTCTTTTATTTTTTCTTTGATATTTTGAATATAGTTTACTATTTTTCCTTTTATTTTTATTTTAAAAACAATTTTAAAATTATTTTCTCATTATATTTTTTTTATTAAATACTACAATTTAACTTTTGTATATATTCTGACAAATCTTGGATCATGTGAATTTTAATCATAAGTTTCATTAACATCATTGATTCTTGGGTGTTGTGTTAAATTCCATCATAAGTTTTCTCATTAATTCTTTGTTTGAAATATGGGATTTAATCTTTGTCTATCCATTCTTCATTCCTCTTCATCTTATCACTTTCTTCTTTTCTTTTAAGTGATTATTCGTGGCCCAAACTTTATGCTTGAAATTGTCCAAATATGATTGATTATTGAATTATGGTTCAAGATCTTTGAAGTTAATTGTTAGGAGGCTTTGATTTTATCAATTATCTAATAAGTCTTCATCAACCTTGGCCTAAGTTCAATCTTCAATCATCATTGATTATTTATTATGGATTTCATCTCTTTTTTTTTTCCTTTAAGTGATCATTAGCGGCTCAAGGTTTATGCTTGAAATTGTCCAAGTATGATTGATTATTGGACTTTGATTCAAAATCTTTGAAGTTTGTTGTTAGAAGCCTTTGATTTTATCAATCCTATAACATGTTTTCATCATCATTGACCTAAGTTCAATCTTCAATCACCATTTATCATTTATTATGGAATTCATATCTTCTCCATCCCTCTTTCTTCTATTATTCTTTTTGATCAATTTGAATAAGGCGTTTGAACTTTAAGTTCATCTAAGTTTATGGATAGTTGATAAACTTTCAACATTTTCAATCTACCTCTAGATGATCCATTGATCATTCAAGGTACTTTACATTGGTGAAAGTTTGTCATGACGTATCTTCCATGACCTAGGTCTTGATCACCTTTGTTTTTACTTGTGCTACATGTTTTAGGAGTTTGATTTTTATCAATGTCTCTAATATGTATGGTATATACATTGTTATTGATCGACCTCAAAATATATACAAATTTTACATAAGTCCACTTACGATTGCTTAACATAGCGCCGCATTTATCCCGAATCAAAAACTAACTCTAACATTAACCTTTACTTTATGCAACTTTAATTTCCTCACTTTACTTACCGCTTTTATTTTATGTCACTTTTATCTTTTAGCATTTACATTTCATGTAATTTGTTTATGATTCCGCATTTTCCCTTTGTCCACTTGGGCATATGTTTATGTTTATGCACATTTTCCTTTGTCCACTTGGACTCTTATTTTATGTTTAAATCATTAATAACCAACTTGAATAATAAAAGACTTGAGACTCATCTTAGACTATTGGTCACTATCCTTGGTAGGGGTATTCGCGGTTCAGTTTGGATCGGCTTTAAAGCAAAAATTCATCCGATCCAAAGATTAATTCACTTAAGGTTCGGTTCGGTTTTGGATGATATATTTAAAAAAATCCAATCTGATCCGATCCAATTTTATGCGGTTTAATTTGGATCGGTTTTTGGATATCCAAATTACACATTATATTTTTATTAATATTATAAAACTACTAATAAATCATAGATTTGATATAATATATAACATATAGTATATTAAAAGTTAATATTACAAAATGAGAGTGATTGATTATGCTTGAAATAATAAAAATAAATAGATTATACCAAACTAATAAATATTATTAAAAAAATTATTATCATCTAATAATAAATTCACATAACATGTCATACTAATAAAAAGTAAATAAGTATTAAAATATATTTATGCGGTTCGGTTTGCTTTAGATCGGTTTTGAAAAATTCATCCGAAATTCAATCCAAACCGATCGGTTTTCATAAAATAACATCCAAACACAACCAATAACTTTCAGTTTTTTATGGTTTTCGATTTTTTGGATCGGTTTTCGGTTTTTTATTTGGATTGTTTTGGATTTGAACACCCCTAATCCTTGGCATAAGGGATTTGTGGATCTCTTGGACTTATGATTGGAAGCTTTGATACTTGGAGACCCTGAGACCTTTGAACTTTATTTACTTGTTATTATTTTGCTTATATATTGGGAAATCTTCTATGTGCAAGTGTTATCCTTTTGGAATTAAGTGATCTATATGGCACATGGCTCAATATTAAAGACATTGCTTTGGATTTTAAAACCTTGGGGTTTCTTTGATACTTCCTAGCTTGTGATTTATTTTCACATGATGATTGATATGCTCTTGGTCTATTTGGTACCGGTGGCTTTTTAATCTAAATGATGGGAATTTTATATTGACTTCTTTATGTCAAGTGTTGGCTTCTTGTTGGTTAGACCTTTCTTTACCTTAGCTTTTACTTTGTGTACATAGGATAGCCTCTTCATCTCCTCATATCTTCTTTAATTTCAAAATCTTCCATCTCCTTTTAAAAACTTCTTCTTGTTTTCTAACTTGAACCCCTTTCATAAAAAAAACTTGGACTTAAGTCCATGCATTTTCAAAATTATTTTCTTAATAAATTCAATTGATCATCCAATCTTAATTAAGATATGACTTATTTCTTCAATACTTAAAAATACAAAACAAATTAAAACTTTTTTCCCGCTTTACCTTTTATCTTTAAGACCTTTTCTTAGAATTAACAAACACATAACTTTTCAAAAAAATTTAGGAGAACTACGAGTGCCCTTATCCCCTATTGTACAAAAGGTGGTATGTAGGCACAAAAGATTCACAACCGCGGTTGGTGCAAAATTGTAAAAACCACTTCTTTTCTCATATCCACCATCTATTTTGTAAATATTTCTTTATAGCCAAAATACACAGATTTTCAAAGAGGTTCGTGCGGAGTACTGTAGATGTTTAGGGTTCTAAAACTTTTCTAACGCTTTCTTGCTTCGGGTTTTATTCGCTCTTTTCCCATTCCTTTGGATAAAATAAAGTACGATGGCGACTTTCACCAATTTATGATTTAAGTCAATCTAATGGCTTAGTCTCAATATTTCTACCGCTACATCCACGACTGACAATATGAAAAAGTACTTACTCAACCGAGGGTTACGCCCCCGCACCGATTTTGCCAAAGCAATTGGCATACAAACACCAGCCACACTAGACGCTCTCTTCCTCAAAGCCTAGGTGCACATCCAATACGATGAGAAAGTGACCGCCAATAATGCTCGACATCACAGCAGAAATAACCTCACCAGCCGAGCAGACATACGTTCCCCGCAAACATAACAGCCGAGCAGGCATACATTCCTCACGAACACAATAGCCGAGCAGACATATGTTCCCCACAAACACAACAACCAAGCCATCATACGTTCCTCGCAAACACAACAGCTGAGCAAACATATGTTCCCCACGAGCACAACACTTGAGTAGACATCTTGTCGAAGCCCGCGAGCATGAAGAAGAAAGGCGGAACAAGTCCGTCATTCTAGAAATATTATCGCGTCCAAGCAAAAACAGAAATGAGGCATACTATCTCGAAAACTTACACGGGAAATAACTTACTCGACCATGAAACACCGAAAAGTTGAAACAATATTACAGCTAAGGCCATAAATACTCAGCGTGCTCTGCCAAACAACAGACACCGCACACCCCGACTAAAATGTGTGCCCATGTAAAAGCACTGCATACCAAATAAAATATAAGACAAGTCTCTACTCTTAGAACGAGTTGATTCCTTTGTCCAACAGGGGATCCTCAATCGAGCCCCACTATCACTGTCGTACCACAATGGCAGAACGCCCAACTTGCGATGGGAAGTACACAACGAGGAACTCAGGCCACAAATAGGGCCTAAGCTCCTCTCGTTGCCCGGAAAACAACTCTAGTCATTCGATTATTTCCCCACACTTCTGAACATCGATACTGTCGAGCAAACTCCCGAAACACTTAGCAAAAATAACTTGCAAAATAGCTCAAAACTATAAGCATACAAACAAATAGCTTAACAAAGGCAATAAAAGATAAAATCATACACGAGCAGAAATGAACGCTTAACACGAGCACTAGTTAGAACTATCGATCACGGTCATATACACCGTGCCTTCCTCGTGAGTAAGCAATAAAGCTTTCGTAAGCAGAAAGTGGCCTTTAAGTGCGCTAACTCGCAGTCACGAAACCTCTGTAGCAAGCACCATCAACAACCACACAAGTTTGCTAACCTCGGACCCCCAACAGAGGCTCTCTTTGTAGGAGTTCCTCGCTCCTCCTCGTCACACGGGATGACTCTAAAGCCATTACTCCTATGCATAGAAGCAACGACTTAGGGGGCTTCTGTTCTAGACTGGACCAGCGGCTGGTCCGCAATCAAGTAAGACCCAATACACTCTTGCGTCTAGGACATCCCATGACCACTTTGCCAACCCATTTGGGCTACAGAAGGCGCGTTCCCC